TGTTTAATAAATATTCGTTAAAGGAATGAAATGAATAAGTGACTAAATGAAAAAGCAGAGTCTGAACATGATCTTACAAATGGGACGGCTGAGATTCAGAATTCATTTTACTGTGTCTTTTATGAAACTGAACAGTGCTTAGTAAGATATGGTCTTTCCATTTCAGCGTTTTCAAGTGCACACACTAGAACAGTCTAATGCATTTGACATCTCCATGTTGGTTTACATCTGTTAGGTGTGGCGCATCAGAGACACTGGTGAACCGTTGAACTTTTTTTTTGAGTAATGGTAGTGTGAAAGTCTAATCAGCTGCAGACAGCCAGACACAAGCCTGTAGACCCACAAAGTCAGATTGATTGAACCCATGTAGTCAGGGAGGCGCAAGTCCTTTCCTAGGCCTGGGCTGGTGCTGGCAGATTCTAAGGCGGGGGGGCCAGGAAAGCAGGGATCAGTTCTCGATTGCTTGCCTTTTCTGAGGCTGGATCAGAAGGATCCAGGGATTGATTTGGAATTGGGTGCTGTCAGGAGCCAAGGGCAGGTTAGCAAAAGTGTCCCCAGTAATCTTTATTTAGAGGATAAGACATAGCAAAGCAGGTCAGAGGGCAACATTGGCAAGAAAGCAGTAGTCCCTCAAAGAGGCGATCTGTTCTGACATTTTACAGCTGCTGGAAGACCTTGAGGGAAACAGTTTCCTGTGAACTTTGCAGCGGGCTTTAACTGTGTCATTCCTCTCCTGTTCACAGCAGGACTGTTTTTCCCTTCCCAGCCTGGTCTGCTGTTCATTCACTCTTCAGCCCAGACCGTTTTTCCTGGTTCCAGGTTTTCATCTTTGTGTGACCCTTCATGGTTTCCCAGTACCTTCAGATCCATTGTTGCAATTTGACCATCCCAATGGGCCTCTTAGAAAGATAGGGAGAGATTACTCTGTAATCTTTCATATTCTCCCACTCCCTCCCCACCCCCTTTTGGTCTTTACATGTCTGTCCCAGTATCTCCGACCCTGGCCTTTCTCTGGAGCTCCAGAAATTAGAATAAGTGTCTTTTCAAATGGCGCCTTGGCAGCTTCATGCGGGTGTTCCACAGATACCTCCTTTCAACATTTTTAGCATTTCAGCTCATCACCTTAATACCAAAACATATTTCACCTCCCTTACTTTTATCATCTAAACCCAAACCTTAGGATCTTCTTTTTGTCTTGAAGCTTTTTTCTTCCCATCTCCATTCAGTTGCAAACTCCTATCAGTTCTGTCCTTAGTATCTCTTGAATTGGTTCACTGTTGGCTATCCTATTGCTTTAGTGTTTACCCTCCTCATCTCTCACATGAAATACTGAACTGGTTGTGATTCCCCACGACTCCAGTCTCTCATTCATACTACATTTAGTGTTGTCTTCTTTTTAATGTACGGATTTGATTATGGTCTTTGATTTCTTTACTGTCTGCCAGAGTCTGTATTATATAACAGAGTATTTAATAGTTTTCATAATCTGACTCCCATCTATTTTTTGTCTCCCATCTTCTCACTTCTCCTTTGTGCCATTCTAGGAATTCCCTTTTTTAATTAAAAAATTTTTTAAGACTTGATTTTTTTAGAGCAGTTTTAGGTTAATAGCCCAATTCAGAGTAAAAATTTCTCATATACCCCTTGCCTCCACACATTCACAGCCTCTCCCATTTTATCAACATCACCCATCAGAGTGGTACATTTATTACAATTGATGAACCTATATCATCACTCAAAGTCCATAGTATACCTTGTATGTTCTGTGGATTTGGACAAATGTATGATGCCATGTATCTATTATAATATCATATAGAGTATTTTCATTGCCCTGAAATCCTCTGTGTTCTGCCTATTAGGAGTTAACTTTTTGTGCCTATGTTCTTTGAGACATACTACTTGTGCATTTATGGTGCTCTGCTTTTGATTCCCTCCCTCTGCTGATTTGCCAGATTCCTCATGTTCTTCAGGGTACATCTGAAGAGTTACCTCTTCTTTGAAGCTTTATCTCACACCCCCCAAGCAGAGTTTTCCTTGCATTTAGTACATATCGCTATTATAGAACCTCTCTCAGTTCATTAAATTATACTTACCTTCATTTTTTCCCCACTATGCTCCTTTGAGGACAGGAATGGTATCTCATTTGTCTAAGTAAGCTAATACATAGTATGTATTCAACAAAAATATGTTGCTAAACAATAAGTGTTGGCAAGGATGAGGAGAAAAAAGAACCCTCGTGCACTCTTGGTAGGAACGCAAACTGGCACAGCTACTGTGAAAAACAGTATGGAGAGTCCTCAAAAAATTAAAAATAGATCTACCCTATGATCCAGTAATCACACTACTGGATATTTACCCCCAAAATATAAAAACACTAAAGGACACATGCATCCCTATGTTTGTTGCAGCATTCTTTACGATAGCTAAACCATGGAAGCAGCCCAAGTGTCCATCGACAGATGAATGGATAAAGAACACACACACACACACACACGCAGGAATATTATTTAGCCATTAAAAAGAATGAAGTCTTGCCATTTACAGCAACGTAGATGGAACCAGAGATATGAGGCTAAGCAAAATAGGTCAGTCTGAGAAAAACAAATACCATCTAATCTGTCACTCATATGTGGAATTTAAGAAACAAAACAAGTGAGCAAAGGAAAATAAAAAGAAAGACAAACCAAGAAATAGACTCCTAACTATAGAGAACAAACTGAGGGTTACCAGAGGGGAGGTGGGTGGAGGGATGGGTCAAATAGGTGATGGGGATTAAGGAGTACACTTATCATGATGAAAGAAATAAAATAAGGAAAAAAAAGTTGCATTAATAAATGTCAGCGGTCAATGAACATTTTCCAGAACACACTGAAGGTAGAGGTTTTGCCTGGAGCTAATAAATGCTAGAGCTGGGATTCCAATCTGGATTTTTTACAGGATATTTTCTGTGGCACCAAGGTGTGGCAGAACCTGATCTCTGAGTAGGGTAGATGAAAGGAAATGGAGGCAATTGAAATAATCTAGTCGTGAGGGGTTAAGCAGTTATACATGTAAGACATCTAAGGAGATATCACAGTGTCACTGAGTGAAAAACAAAGGAGAAGGGAGAAAGAGGAATCAAGTTGCTGAGAATTTTGAATTTTGGGGATTGGAGTTGGTTGGAAGAGATGGCTGTTTACATTGTTACTGTTGATATGACCAACATTAGTAGTAGTGTCTTCCATGTGCCAGCACTGGGCTCACTGCTTTGCGGAGGAAAAAAGCATGAGAGAACATGAGAAAGTTGCAAGAACGGAGTGATATTCAGCGTAATTCATGCTACAGAGAATGCAAGGAAAAGGTTATTGAATTGGTTAAGAGAAGCTCTCTAAAGTGCCTTAAAAGAACAGTTTGATATTTAGGTTTTGTTTTTTTGTTTTTTTTAAAGATTTTATTTATTTATTTGAGAGAGAGAGAGAGAGAGCACATGAGAGGGGGGAGGGTCAGAGGGAGAAGCAGACTCCCTGCCGAGCAGGGAGCCCGATGCGGGACTCGATCCCGGGACTCCGGGATCATGACTTGAGCCGAAGGCAGTCGCTTAACCAACTGAGCCACCCAGGCACCCTGTTTTTTTTTTTTTTAATATTGGCCAAAAAAATCCCCCAAACCCTCTAAGTGGGTTGCAAGTTTTCCAAAAATATTGGGTATTTTATTTCATTTTGTCATCATGTGTGTCACAGTGATAATAAATATTCTTAGACTTCTTCTCCCCCCAAATTTTTTAAAAATATTTTTTCCCTCTTTTTAAAAATCTTTTGTTATTTGTTTGAAAAACCTAACATCAAGGCCAGAAAGTAGATTCAGTCAGAGGCTCCCTAGAGTCTAAAACTGAAAAAAAAAACACTTTAATCCTGAGGAAGTTCTAATTATAACTGCCTCTAGATTTAGCTCAGTGGATAAAATAAGGTACTGGGCTTCTCCATAAAATTCACTCATTTTCATATTTCAAGGAAACATTTGTAGTGACCTGTGGTAAAAGTGTGGTCTTATAGATCTGAGAGTTTAGGAACTAGATTTGGATGTTTTCCACCCCACCTTAAAGCAGCTCAAATGCTAATGAATGAGTGCCTAAAATAAAAGATATCTGAGATGAGTTTTAATTACAAAAGGCAGAGCTGATGCACATTTCTGGGGAATGGTAAACTAAAAAATATGATTAAAACAGCAACTCAATCCCGTGTATTAGGTTAAGCAAATGTGTAACTGAGTTTTAAAAGGTATCTTTGACTTCTGGGGGTGGAGGTGGCTCTTTTCCTCCCCAGCTTAATAGGCTAATTAGAGTCACTACAGGCAGTTTGAGTGGTGAATACACTTAAAAAAAAATTAGTTTGCTAGCACTATTGAATTTGCAATAAGTAGAGTCAGCATCTGAAATAGTTCACTATTTCAAATAATGGCATTTTATTTAGTACTCCAGAGTGTGTTAAATGGCTCCCTGGAGCATTAAAGGCATCACTCTATTTTCCAGGACCTGCGCGAAGTCTGGCTCAATTATCCTCTCCACCCACTGCAAGTAAGTGCGACCTTCCTGTCTGCAGTGAGCTTTATAGCTCCGGGTAGTCCTGTTACTTTAGTTTGCCTATTTTTCCCTCCTGCTTTTATCAACCTTTGATTCCCTTCAGTCACATTATGACTTTAAGCTGGGGTGTCAAGCAGAACTGGAAAACTTTGCAACAAATAGTAAAATGAACCCATGTGTTGCATTTGTGCTTTGGGGTGGGGTGAGGGGAGCACTGGGGGTCACCTTCCCTCATAAGACCAGAGGAATACTTGTGTGGTTGTGGTGTGGTGCCCTCTCTCCCCCAAAAAAGTGATATTCAAAGCTTAATATGTTGTTTCTAGTGTATCTCCCTGGCTGCTATTAAAGAGAAAATAATGTGGAAGCAAGTGTGTGTTTAGTAAAAAGAACAAATACAAAATTAACATTGCTAAATTGTAACCTAATTTAGATCTTGGAAATTGAGGGCTTTGACTCAGATTGCTTAAAACATATTGTAAATTAAAATTTTAGTACAGTGTGATGACTTTTTATTCAAGATTTTGGTATTTAAAAGATCTGTATGTGGTGACATCCTTTTTCCCAGTTGGTTTAAAAACTCTTTGTATTCTTTTCTTTTATTTCTGTTTTACCTGGAGACATATATGTATGCATATATATATATATATTCTCATACACATTTTTATATGTGCATGTATGTATATGTACATTATACATATATAAGAAGCACTAGTGGCTGAACTCTAATGAGAGGCTTTACAGTAATAAATGGCATTAATTCAGAGAACTTTAGAAACATTAGTATGAAATTGTCCAAAGTTGTTGAAAATGTTCACTTTAATTACTCTTCTCGTATATGCTCTCACTTTTGCATTGAGTTGTTCAAGACTTATTGTTTTGTGGAGCACCTGCCGGGTGGTACAGTAATCTCCAGTGTAAGCTAAATCCAGCTTTAATCATGTTCATTTGCCAAAATAGGCTGGTCCCTAGAAGACACACAGAGGTCATATTCCCCTCATAGGGTGGTTCTCAAAGGTCAGTCTCCATACCAGCAGCCTCTGCCTCTCCCGGGAACTCGTCTGACAGGCAGATTCTCAGTCCTTACTCCAGACATACTGAATCAGAAACTCTGGGAGTAGTGCCCAGCCATTTGGATGTAATAGGCTCTATAAAGGTTCTGATGAACGTGAAAGTTTGAGAACCACTGCATTACTAGATATACATATTCTCCATGAGCAGTTCTTCACTTTGCCCATTCCTCGGAGAGTTAGTATAATACGTGGGATTTTGAACTATCTGTGTACAGTACTTGGCCTTGAAACTTGATAGAAGATTGGAAAATATTATTTGAGCCTTCTTTAAATATTAGGTTTGTTTGCCATTCTAAGGGATGAGAAAGAAGCTTCCGTGTTTTATTGGCATTTCAGAAATTTCTGCCCATGGGAGAAGGAATTTTATAAAACACTATCCTAGAGTTGATAATTACTCTTGTAACCAAAAACTGCATGTGATTTTTATTTATTTTTTATTCTTTTCCTGCAGCTACAAGAGCCGAATACTGATCGACAACTTATTGAGACTTCTCCAGTTCTGCAGAAACTTACTGAGTTTGAAGAAGCCATTGGAGTAATTTTTACTCATGTTCGACTTCTGGCAAGAGCATTCACTTTGAGAACTGTGGGATTTAACCATCTGACCCTGTAAGTTAGATTTAACCATGCAGTCCCAGTGTGACCATTTAGACAGGCAGTCCCGAACCTTTGCTGCGTGCCTTTCAAAGGAATTGGGATTTCAAACATATTTCTAGGAAAGTCACATCATGAGATGGGTGAGTAGCCAGACACTGGTGTGGATCAGGGGATAGGTTCCAATCCAGTATTTTTGGTTTCATTGTCATGCATCTTATTTCTTCATAAAGTGTAAGAAAAGCATGAAGGAAGTAAAAATTTTATCTGTAAAGGAACAGATACTAAGTATTTTAGGCTTTACAGGCCATGTGGTCTCTGTTGCAGTGATTCGACTCTGCTCTAGTAGCGTAAAAGCAGCCACAGAGAAAATGTAAATGAGTGGGCATGGCTCTGTCCCAATTAAAGTTGCAAAAACAGACTGTGGGCTGAAACTGGCTCTCCATCCTAGCTCTAGATGAATGATTTGGATATGAGCTAATATAATAATTAGGAAAATAACCAAAATGTTATTTCTTTGCCTGTTGTTTTTTATTTAGTTCTTGGCTTCTCTCCCCCAAATCAAATATTCACAGCTCTCTTTAAAGTGTAGAGATTTAAGATTCTTGTCAGATTTTTTTTTTTTTTTTAGTGTCCTAAAACTGGATTCCAGATTTGAATGATAGAGTGTGTATTTCAGTAAAGAAGTAAAGATTTAACAAAGAAAATTCCTGGACCATTTTGCTTTGTTTTATCTATGTAGGAGTGTTATCTATACTTTATTTTTCAACTGATACTCCTTAAGTTCTGACCAGGCACTATTTACCAGTCTTCATTTACCAGTTATTTAATCCTTAGATAGTAGTCCCCGTACTCTTCTTCGAAACTCAATCTATATTGACTCAGGTCTCTTCTCAGTTGAGGGGCCTTAGGGGATTGTATTTAGTTTTGTGTTTTAAAGCAAGGTGAACACATTGCCTTCTAAAACCGTGCCTTTTTAAAAATTCTGCTTCTTTTTTTTAAATATACAAATGCTTATTGATCTCTTTGCATTGATGTTGTTTTTTCCAGAGGCCACAATCAGAGGATGGAATTCCTAGGTGACTCCATAATGCAGCTGGTAGCCACCGAGTACTTATTTATTCATTTCCCAGATCATCATGAAGGACACTTAACTGTGAGTTTGTGTTAAATCATTCCCTCCAGTAAGATTGCTATGTAATAGAGTGAAGATTAGAGTAGCTAAATATATATTTATGTAATTAATTACTTAGTTCTTGACTTTAGCATATCATATGATTTTGTTCATTTCATTATGCAAATTGTATACAAAACAGTATATGAGAAGAACTTATTTTATGAACTCCCTTCATTTAATGATTGCATACTCTGTGCAAGACATTGACTTGAGCTAGGCTTCATGGGAAGAGCAAATATTAGTTGATACCTATCCATAAGGAGTTTAAAAACTATTAGCAGAAATGAAAAATGTAAATAAATAGCTACAAATACTCTCTCTATGTATATATATATAGGATGTATGTGTATGTGTTATGTGTGCATGCATACAATACATGTACACTGTGAAAAGTAGTAAATAAGTAATTGTAACTAAATATAGGAGAGAACCATGTGAAATATTATGAAGAGGCATAGGTAAACTGATGCACTTGTGCTGTTTAGAAAAAGATAAGATTTCTTTTAGCTGTGGATTTCCAAGAAGGCTTCATGCATATGATGATGTTTGAGCCTTTAAAGATGACTAGGATTTGGCCACTAGGATTAATGGGAAGAAATTTCTGTGCAAAGATATGCCACACATTGGGCCTGCTGAAACAAAGGCACAACATGAAAAACCAGAAGATAGAGAGACAGTAGGGAATCAGTTTGGCTGGATCCAGGGCAGAGTTGAAAGGGACTTACAAAGACAAGGTTTGATTTATGAACAAAGTGAAACAGTCCCCATTTCTCTCACTTTTGTTTCATTTTATAAAATTGTATTGAGCTTTTCTATTTGTTGCATACTATTTGTACTCTGAAACTGATCAATAATATAGCCAGAATGATGAACAAAGCATATCTGGAAGCCAGTCATGATGATCTCTCAAGGCGCAAGAATAACCTTTGAGAAGACCCTCTAGAGTTGGGCATTGAGAAAGCAAATACTTTCTGGGCCAGGAAAAATAGTAGTGTGCTCTAAGATATTTTGTTAGTGTAGCCTTCCTTTTGTATTATACTAGAAGCAAATAATAAGTCTTTCATACTTTGCATCTCCACGATTTTTATGCATGTCTTGCTTTGAATAGAATTGGATCTTATCTCTACAACTGTGAACCCTGGAAATAGTTTATGTGAGACACAAATATTGGAATTAAGGAGAATATGGTGACTTGACTATGTTTAGATATAATTTTCAGTGAAATTTCTAAGCCTAACAAAATGTGATTCTTTTATTCGCTCACTCAATGAGTATTGTGTTCTTACCATGCCCCATACTATTATATGGGAAATCAGTAATACTATTCTTTTAAATTTAATTTAAAGTTAACAGTTTGATTACCATTTAAAGTTAACTATTTTTGGATGGACAGGGAAGTATTTCCTCTTGAATTAATATTAAATTCTTAAGTAAGAACATAGGAGTATTTACCAAAAATAAACTAGTGTCTAGTATCTTGCTGTGCATTAGGCAATCAATAAATGCTTGTTCAGTATCTTCCATTAGGGAATAGACTTCATCGCTGTCAGATTATCTGGTTGGTCTGAGAAATGGCCAAACCAAGCCAAGTGGCTTGAAATAGTAATTCATTTTTTTGGCCATATAGAGGCCACTGGTGAAAATGTGTGACTGAATACACACATTTACCCCTGTATTCCTGCAAAACTAATTGTGAACTCTAGGATTTTGTAGAGGTGGAATGTTCTAGATCACCAAGTTTACTGCTTCCCATCTTGGTCTAGATAAAGGGAAAACCAGGACTATGCTAAAGACTCTAGTTTTGTGTTCTTTCCAAAACTGCTTCAGTGCCATAGCTGTAGTTTGATCCAAAATGTATTTATCAGCCTTGCTGTCTTAAAATTAGAGAATTTTTGAAGAGCTTCTTAGATGGTAAATGACAAAATTATGATATGACGGTTTTATTAACTATATTCATAGAAAGCTTTGGTAGAAATCAATAGGACTGACAGATCTGCTGGTAAAACAAAGATGATCTGTCATCCACTGAGTACATATTTTAAAGGATATGAACTCTTGTCGGCGCTGGCATGGTTGCTCCCTCCCTCCTTCTTGAAACACTGTCCTTCATTGGCTGCTGTCAGCTTCTGTCAGCTTCTGTCAGTTTCTGTCAGCTTCTGTCACGCATCTGAAAGGCTCCCCTCTAGGCCCTTGTCTCTTGTCACGAGAGCCCCTCCTCGGCAGTCTTTTCCACGTACACACTGTCGGTTTCACTCTAGCCACAGTGACGTCCACACAGACCTCTTCAGTCCCATTGCTTCCTGAGCTCCAGTAAGTAGCTGCCCCCTCGGCGTCTCCCCGTGGCCAAGACCAAACCTAGAGTCTTCCAGCAGCCGCTTCTCTCCCAGCATTCCCTGAGTAATTGAGTGGCAGTGGCAGCGGCTGCCGTCCCGTGTTGCAGGTCAGAAACCCAGGAGTCATCTTTGATTCCTCCTTCCACCCATGGCCCTACATTCTAGACCATTCACATGTCCGGACATTGTTACTTCTTGAGTAAACACCTCGTCTTCATCACCTAAATCCTCTCAACCAGCCTGGGTCACCTGGACCGCGGTAGTAGCTTCTGCGTCGCCGGTTACAGGAATATGCTTGGCAAAGAAACCCCATTAGAAGGGATGGCATTTATTAAATTGCACAGGATACGATCTTCAGGTTGTGTTTGTACCAAGCACTAGGCAATGCAGCGTTTTCAGATTTCCCCGAGCTGTATGCTGCTGTTTGCAAAGCTGGCCTTTGCAGTTCCGTACTCTCCCGCAGTAGACAGTGTCCGGGCAGAGACCCTCCGGTCGGCCCGGGTTTCAGGCCTGTTGGCCGTGTCGTAGCTTCCTAACCGGTCTTCCTCTGTTCTCTCTTCCCTGATCTGACCATGCATTTTCACGTGGCGGCCGGGGGTGTGTTTTCACAGCAGAGCTTCTGTGACCGTACTCGCCCTTCGTCTTCAGTCCACTCTGGTTATTCCTCTCATCTCCCCAACCACTAACTATTGGAGCACCCCCGTTCTCAGACCTCTTCTCTTTTCTCTTGACCTCCTTTCTGGGAGCGATCTCACGGCTCTGAGGACTTCTACACACCACTTCCTCATGCATGTCTTACGCCTGTACTTCTCGCCCTGATTCCGGACTTGTGTCTTTATATCTCCAGATATACTTGAATACCCAGGTATAAGATATACTGGAATCCCTAGTTGGATTTCTGCCAGGCATCTCCAACCTAACATGGCCAAAACAAACCTGCTTTTCTCTAGGTGTTGTCCATATCAGCAAGGATCTTCTCATTTTTACGATTGCTCAGGCTGAAAACCTCAAAGTCATCCTTAACTGTCCTCTTTTCTTCATGTTATACTGTTAGCCGCTAGCATATCCTATTGATTATGCCTTAAAAATTTGTCCAGAACGTGACTACTTTTCACAAGCTCCACTGTTACTGCCCTGGTCCAGGCTACTATTATCTTTTCCCTGAATTACAGCCATAGCCTCCCAACTGGTCCAAACCACCCCACGTGCCCCACGCCCCCCAGCCCTCAGTCTTGTTTAGCACATCATCTAGAGGAATTGTTTTTAAAGGGAAGTCAGATTACAGCCCTCCTTTGTGAAGAACCTCCCAAAGATTCCCTGTGTCAAGGGTAACAGTGTTGTTGCCTACTAGACCCTATGACCTGCCTCCCTGACACTGTCTTTGTCTCCTAGACTGTTTGCATTGGATCCTGTGCCATTCCCGTAGGACACTAAGCAAGCCTTTGCCTCGGAGCCTTGCACATGCTGTGGCCAAATTCTTTGTCTCCCTTAGGTTTCGGTTCAAATGCTATCTTATCAGTGAGGCCTTTAACTTACCCTGCTTAAATTGTGACCTCTTCCCCTTGTCCCTAGTTCCCCTCTCCCAGCTGGGAAACTCATTTCCATTTTCTCCTGAGCACATACTATGTATTTTACTTGTTTACTGTCAGTTTTCTCTCGTCAGAGTGTAAATTCCTTGAGGGCAAGAGGTTTTGTCTGTTTTCTTCATTCCTGATTCCCTGGGTCCTTGGCATTCCTGGCATATCAGTGCTCAGCAGATATGCTGAATAAATGATCGTCCTATCCCGGTCCAGGGCTCTTTGTTTATTCTTTGGATAGTGACTAAAGAACAAGGAAGGTCTAGCCTGGTCTGGCCTGCCCACCTGCCCGCCTCGTGCAATATGCTCTTCTTTTCATTGTGCACCTCTATACTGCCCTGTTCCATGTTCCTCCAAGCCCCCTCCGGCCATCAGGCTTTACATGTGCTCTTCTTGTTCCTGGGCAACATTCTGTTTCCAACCCTTACTCTCATCTGCCTGGTCTCTCCTACTCTTCCATTAGACATCAGTTATGGCTTGACATCTGGAAGCAAGGAGAACCTTTTCAGATCCTCCCCCCGCCCCACCCCGCAGCCCAGTCAAAATTCCATGTTCTTTTATTTCCTGGCACTCACTTATTTCAGTTTGCCTGACCCACTAACCTAGAAGTTCTGTGAGAGCGTGTTTTTATTTATCACTCTGTGCCCAGCCATATGGTAGGCTTTCAATACATATTTGATAAATAAATAAAAGAAAGAGTTTTGCTGGCAGCTAAGTTGTATGGAAAGGGAAGTAGAAGTGGCATTGGAGGGAAGTGCCATGTTGTTTTACGTATGAAGAAGGAGGCTGAAAACTTATTTATGAATGTCTCAAGATTAAAATTAGTTGAAAATTTGTGGAGGATTACTTACTACAGTTGCATTTGTATGGGGGGTGGCAAATTATTTATTATTGTGATTAAAAAACACACAACTACATTTAATTCACACTGGGAGGCATTAGTTAGCTTTGAGCCCTTTGTGCACTTGTTTTACAGAGAATAGGACAGTTGAACAAATGAAATCATGGATTTGAAGTTTTGAATGCTAATGGGGAAAAACATAGTGTTGTATGAGTTGGATATTAGGAA